CCCCCCCCCCCCATCAGAAGCATCCAAAAATGTCCAGAACGCTGCCATTTCTAAGAACTCTGCTCTCCGTTTACCTCTTCTACTTCGTATCCACACCCTTCTGTGTAAGCTCACTGACTGCCAAAACAGACCAGGCCATCTTGCTTGAGCTTAAAGATCAATGGGGGAATCCGCCGTCTCTCCACCTGTGGAACTCCTCGTCCTCGCCCTGCGATTGGCCTGATATTGTCTGTAGAGACGGCACAGTCACAGGAATCTCTCTCAGAGACAAGAATATCACTGGGAAAATCCCAATTGTCATCTGTGACCTGCAAAACCTCACTGAGCTTGATTTTTCATGGAACTATATCCCGGGTGAGTTCCCTGAGGCTCTGTTCAACTGTTCCAAGCTCAAGTATCTTGATCTTTCAGGAAACTATTTTGCGGGGTCGATACCACACGACATAGATCGATTACAAACTCTGGAGTACATGGACCTTAGCGCCAACAACTTCTCAGGAGATTTTCCAGCAGCACTAGGCCGGTTGCCAGCTTTGAGAACTTTAAACATTTATCGAACTCAATGCAATGGCACATTGCCAGCTGAAATTGGGAACTTGTCCAATCTTGAAACTCTGAGCTTGGCTTATAACACTTTGCTCGTCCCATCGCCAATACCACAAGAGTTTAGGAAACTGAAGAAGTTGAAATATATGTGGATAAAAAAATCCAACTTGATTGGTGAAATCCCAGAAGGCTTATCGGATCTTTTGAGCCTTGAGCACTTGGATTTATCCAGCAACAATTTGGTAGGCTCTGTTCCTACTAGACTGTTCTCTCTGCAGAACTTAAGCAACTTATATCTCTACCAAAATCAGTTGTCTGGTGAGATACCCAAATCAATCCAAGCATCAAATCTACTCAATCTCGACCTCTCTGCAAACAATTTGAGAGGCACCATCCCTGAAGATTTTGAGAAGTTGAAGAAGTTGCAGGTTCTCAACTTGTATGAAAATCACTTGTCTGGTGAAATTCCTGGGAATCTAGGCCTAATACCGACGCTAAAAGGCTTTCGGATCTTCAACAACAGCATAACCGGGGACCTGCCACAAGAATTGGGTCTGCATTCAAATCTTGAAGCATTGGAGGTTTCAATGAATAAGCTAAGTGGTTCATTACCTGAACATCTCTGTAAAAATGGCGTCTTACAGGGAGTGGTTGCTTTCTCCAACAATCTTAGAGGCGAATTGCCAAGAGGGCTTGGCAATTGCAGGACCCTACGCACAATCCAGCTTTCTAATAATAACTTTTCTGGCGAATTACCTCCAGGTCTTTGGACTACTTTCAATCTATCAAGCATAATGTTAGATGGAAATTCATTCTCAGGCAAGTTACCAGATATCTTATCCTGGAATCTCTCGAGACTGACAATAAATAACAACAAATTTTGGGGTCAAATTCCTCAAAATGTGTCTGCTTGGAAGAACTTGGTTGTGTTTGAGGCAAGCAACAATCAGCTCTCTGGTAGATTTCCCGAAGGGTTGACAAGACTTCCTCATCTTACCACACTCATGTTAAGTGGAAATCAACTCTCTGGCCAACTTCCTTCAACAATTGGTTCGTGGGAATCGTTGAATACTCTAAATCTCTCACGAAATGAACTTTCAGGCAATATTCCAGCGGCGTTCGGATTTCTTCCTAGCCTCCTTTACCTAGATTTATCAGGTAATAACTTCTCAGGTGAAATACCACCAGAAATTGGCCAGTTAAGATTGGCTTCTCTCAACTTGTCTTCCAATCAGCTTTCAGGGAAAATCCCAGATGAGTATGAGAATACAGCATATGAAAGGAGTTTCTTGAACAATCCTAAACTATGTACCACCACTGATGCACTTGACCTTCCAAATTGTAACTCCAGACAAAGAGATTTAAAAGATCATTCCTCTAAATATCTCTCCCTCCTTCTAGCTCTCATCGTCACCTTCCTCGTAATTGCTATACTATGGATCTTCATCTTATATAGAAGTTACTGCAAAAAGGAAGAAAGATGCCACCCCGACGCATGGAAGCTAACTTCATTCCAGAGATTGGAATTCACAGAAGCGAATATCTTATCAAACCTGACAGAAACTAATCTGATTGGAAGTGGTGGATCCGGAAAAGTGTACTGCATAGATATAAACCATGCTGGTTACTACGTTGCTGTCAAAAGGATTTGGAGTAACAAGAAGTTGGATCAAAAGCTTGAGAAAGAATTTCAAGCAGAAGTTCAAATACTTGGCTCGATTCGGCATTCGAACATAGTGAAATTGCTATGCTGCGTCTGGAATGAGAATTCAAGGCTGTTAGTCTATGAATACATGCAAAATCAGAGCCTAGATAAGTGGCTTCATAAAGAGAAGAAAAGGTTAAGAGCGGCTACAATGGATTTTGTTGAACAATATGTCTTAGACTGGCCGAGGAGGTTGCAGATTGCTATTGGAGCTGCACAAGGCCTGAGTTATATGCACCATGATTGCTCTCCACCAATCATTCATCGAGATGTAAAGTCAAGTAACATTTTATTAGACCATGAGTTCCACGCAAAGATAGCGGATTTTGGGCTGGCAAAGATGCTGGTCAGGCAGGGAGAGGCTTACACTATGTCTGCAATAGCAGGATCTTTTGGCTATATAGCCCCAGGTAAGTTCATACTGTTCATCCTTGGGAAAAAACAAAGATCCTTAAACATCAAAAATCAAATAACAATCGCAGTAATCTTCATAGAGAGCTTTCAAAACATAGATTTGACGAATGTTCTTGATTTCTATTGCAGAGTATGTGTATACAACAAAAGTAAATGAGAAGATTGATGTCTATAGCTTTGGGGTTGTACTGTTGGAGCTCACAACAGGAAGAGAACCGAACTGTGGAGATGAACACACAAGCCTAGCAGAATGGGCATGGCAACAATATAGTGAGGGAAAACCTATTGCCGATGCTCTTGATGAAGAAATCAGAAACCCACGCAATTTGGAAGAGATGATTACTCTGTTCAAACTAGGTCTAATTTGTACAAGCACATTACCTGAAATACGACCTTCGATGAAGGAGGTTCTGCAGATTCTACGCCAATGCCGCCCTCCAGAAGATTGCAATGGGAGAAAGAACGCCGGCGAATTTGATGCCGTTCCCCTCCTTGGCACTTCTCTATGACATCGATAAGATCCATACTGTTCATGAAAAATCTGTGCGAGTAAACATGTAAATTGATAGCCATTTGTATGTTACAGCAGAGGAAGGGGTACTAATAAAATTTTTGCCAACCCAACTTACTCTAATCAAGCCCATGGCCGGTATGTCCCCCCTATTTTGACATCCTATGGTACCCCGAGATGGGTCGGAATGGGTCGAGTCCATATCGCCTGGGAGCAACAGCCGCGTTCAAATCTAATCTATCTACTCCGTAATTCAACTAGTGACTTCGCAGTCGCCAAAGAAGCATCAAACATTTTCGATAAGATCCATGGAGCAATTATTAGAAAGCAAACACTAGCTCCGAGTACGACTTCGTAAAAAGCAAGAAAAGATAAGATCGAAGAGAATGAAACACACATAGTGGTGATTATAGCAGTTCCTTCTGATCCTATAAAACGTCTGAAAAAATCAACTACGAAACTATTGAGCAAGGTCCAAAAGACGATAAGTAGATACATAATGACGAACGACCTACGATACATCAATCGATGTCCAAAGAACACTCAACCGAAAGAGTGAGCCAGAAGGTGAATTGTCAGATTTAGTGCAGCTGCCAACATCAAGATTCTACTGTTTATTTGATATATTATTCATAATCTTAATTTTAATCGACACACATAGTTGAACTCTGTAAACCCGAATTTGAGAATTCTACTCGATTAAAATCACACGGATGAACCTTTGCTCATCGACCATGTCCAGGTCCAGCCGGATGCTCTGCGACTCCAGTCCCTCCGCTCGTCTGGTCGGAAAATTCCTGACCGCAGCGAAAGAGACAACTAAGCAAGAAGACATGAAATGGGTAGAGAAATTAAGAATCATTCGGAGATTTATGAATTCGACACTTCATTTGAAAGCACACTACTACGCCATAGCCACTGAGCTTATTACAGAATGATCTTAAATCTTAAATCTTCTACCCAGAATTACACAAAAGGGATAATAACAGATCCCAAGTAATACATCATCACTGGAGACCACACCAAAAAAGGGAAACAAAACAAATGATTTGATTACAATTGAGAATAACTCATTCTTGTTCTTCCTTTTTTTTTTTTTTTTTTTTTTTTTTTTTTTTTTTTTTTTTTGTTTGATCCATATGTTTGGATCTTAATAAAGATGATTTGTTTGTTGTTATCTATTCTGCTCTAAGGGTTAACGAGTGTGAATGGTGAAGCCGTATTTTGAAGAAATGGGTAGAGAAAGAACGCCTACCCATGTGGTAAAGAACAGCTTTCCCTCACCCAGAAAAAAAAGGACAAGGTAAGAGAGAATAGTCTGTCAAGATGAGCAAATAATAATCATCAGGACTGCCAGAACATATCGAACTGGTTACTGTACAAGGATCGATCTTGGATCTCCAGATTCGCAACGTGCCAATTAACGAGTCGGGATTGAAGAAATTTACAAACAACCAATCCTGCTAGGAAGATCCACCATTCACTTTCATCCCTGCAAAAAACAGAATCAGGTGTTATCATCCTGTCTCCATCAGTTTGGAGTTCCAATATTAGTAAACAATAAAGGAAGTTTGGTTCTTTTCAGCAGAGCAGAGCAGAGCAAACCCCTCACATGTTAATAGTCCATGGCTGAAAGCTTGGATGCCCGGACGATTGAGATTTCAAGTGTACATATCCACAGAGAAACGCAACCAACTGGGAAAACGATAAAGAAACGCAACCAGTTATGAGAAGTGAACCAAACTGATTGGGTTGAACTCAGGTAATGTAAAAGAATGTGATGAACTTACAACATTGACCAATGATGTGATGTTCCACAATGCATAGATACGAGCAAGGCCTGCAGAGCGTCTCGGTCCTTGGCTGAACAAGGCATTGATTCCAGCAGGGAATGGAAGGAGAATGCCAAGCGGTAAAATAAACAAAACTAAGAAAACGTCTGCCAATGAAATAGAAAACATCTGAAGTAGAGTAAGCAAAACCAAGCTGAAATCCCCTAGAAGTAGGATTGATATGAGTAAACCAACAAGATCCTGCAATTGGCAAAAGAATACAACCGAATATAAGGGCCTATAACAAATCAAGCCTCTGGAGGACTTGAAACCATAAGTATTAACCATGCGTTGAAGCTTCAACTTTGAGATATATACCTGATGACCAACAGGTTTAGTGTTGTGAAGCACATAAGATAGGAGGCAATATATATCTCTCTTCTCCTCGAGCATTTGTAGACTACTAACATCTAAGATGCCCCCATATGTCTTCTTTCGCCTTGTACGGCCTTCACTAGAAATATAGTCTTGGCTTAAATGAGTTTCTTCCCTCACATGGACAAATTGATTTTCTCTAAGAACGTTCTTCAGACTAAAACAGGGGTAGAACATAAAAGACAAACCAAATGAATCTAACAGAAAAAGTATCAAAAACAAAAACCATAAAGCTTTTTATTAATATCTACAGAAGAAAATGTATTACCTAGAAGTTTGATCATTTTCTTCATTTCCATGATAAATTCTCATGGGCGAAGGACTGATTCCGTCATCAGCATATAGAAGGAGACCATACTGGCAATAACCACAGGCTGTGGCCTGAAACTGAGCAAGATCCACACGAATGCCACGACTCCTCAAAGCAGGATTTGCAAAAGTTTCCAGCCATTTAACAACATGTAGAAATGTTGATCTAAGTTGGCCACGACGAACCAACCGTAACTGTGCATTCAGACCAGCAACCATCCGGTACCATGTCGTAGGTGGTAGAGCCTGCAAATCAGAGTACAAAACCCATCAAAGTTCCAGAAGAGAAAATTCAATTTAATATGATGGTTCACACAACAATTGAAGTCTTGAACTTGAGTCCTAGTTTTGGTTAGCGAACCTGGCTCATGAGACTAGTAAGAATATTGTCATTATGAAGTGAAAAAGAAGCCATGTAACTTCCATCGCCTCCAAAGAGCAAGGACAGTGGAAATCTTTGATTCAAACGAGGAGGAAGATCTGTTCTTTTCTCGTCTCCACCCAGAAAGAAGTCGACAAATGCAAGCATTAGATCGGATGTTGCTGTGACCTACAGTTCCACAAATATTCAGCTAAAATTACCAGACACAAAACATCAATCACCAAGCTATCTACTTTCACATGAAAGATAAGGGTTTTTGGAAAAAGCAACAAAAAAAGAAAGAGCAGACAGATAAGGCATAATTATATGATTAATAGGACAGTTGACACCTTGAAAAACCAACAGGTCCAAGAATTTAATTAATAATTAATAGGAAGAAATCATCAGGAAACAAAAATTTCAAGTTCTTACATCAACTATCAATACTTCTCCTTTTGTAAATAGATGCAAATGATATGCAATAAAGTATCCTTCCATCTATATCAGGAGAGAGGGGGAGAGAGAGAGAGAGCAGCGGCAATCAAAAAGTTCCTGAATTAGCAAGGGAAGGTTATAGCGTGGGGGGCAAACTCTAGAGAACAAAGACAGACCCGTCCAACATCATTTAGTGCAAAATAAACGTCATTTAATGCAGAAGAGACATTATTTAATGCAAAAGAAACATCATTATTAGCAAGTGATAGTAGAAAATCGAGGGTGTTCAACATCTATACAGACAGAAAAAACCCTCCAAACCCCCAAAGATATAGATGAAACTGATATCGGACACTAGAATATGATAGACATACAAACGAACAAACCTTAATGCCTTCATAAAGAGCTCGAGAGCGGCAAGACCGCAAACAAGCATGATCATATTCTGATCTAACAAACTCACGTAGAAGTTGCAGTTTCAGCTTTCGACGCCATTGTTGCCATGACCATGCGAGAGGATATGCAAGAGCAGAAAGAATGCTGTATACTGCACCCTCCCACCATTCATATGCCGCTATTGCATTGATATCATCCACAAATTTGTTAAATGCACTCTCATATCTGAGTATCAAAATAGGGGAAATCAAGGTTACAGAAGTTGGGGATAAGTGGTCGTTTCATTGATAACTAAGAACAAAGTAATATATTGCAGATATGTTTACATCAAGGAAATGCATTGAAGCAGTAAATCATTATTACTTACACAATCTCTTTCAGTTGCTCTGGAGGGGAGTGTGAAAGATGCCAGGGTTCACTAAAGGTGTTTGGACCCATAAAGTACATTCTATACACATGACTCTGAGACTCCTCAACTCTATTTGTTTCGAGGACCTAAATCATATAAAGGACATTATCAATAGGACTTACATTTATTTACGTATTTAGGAAGACATTTAGAGTGATAAAAGGTCATGTCATTTAGAGAAAAACCTCATTCAATGACTCCAAGAAAGGAAAGGAATGATCTATTTGAGATGCATGTTGAGTGGGCACAGGACCAGGTAATTCATCCACCCCAACAAATTTCATCCGTGCAACACTAAGCACCAATGCCAGCAAAACAAGGAGAGCAAATAGAAGACCACAAAATAGCCAAGGACCACCAAATGTATAAATTAACTCTTCAAGAGCAGTATAACATTTTGGCATGTGGTATCTATCTGAAATGCATTTGTAGGGGCAAGGAGTTTCAGCAATGCCACCTGACAAAGATTAATAGATAAGGTTAACTGACCTAACTTACAATGTTAACCTTGAATCTTACAACCAATCTATAAAAATTATTTGAACGAAATGCATAGATTGAAGTAAATATGATATTTTCTGCAGGGCAAAAGATAAAAACTCTATCAAATCCACAAAACAGTACGTCCTTTGGCCACTAATTCTTTGTTGGATGCTGATCATCAAAAAATGAATAAGTAAATACCTCGAACAGATACATAAATGGCACGATGTGGAAGCTCATCAGGGGGACATTGCTGACAAAGAGCTCTATCAGATCCACTGACATTCTTGTAAGTACCAACAGGACATTCCTGAAACATAAAAGATAATAATCTACTTAAGAGAGAAAAGTGGAGAGATAAAAAACCCTAATGGACTAATTAAATTCAGTAATTTTTCTTTATAAGATTTGTAGCAATGACTGAACAAGGCTATTTTGTAGGTATTGTTCTTTTCATGACACTGAAGGTTCTTGAGTTTAGACATTTTGTTTGAGTTTCAGGACTATTTTTTCTTTTTTCTTTTTTTTTCTTTTTCTTTTCATGATATACATTCATAGAGAAAACAAACGTACATAAAAAGTGGCAATATGAAAGAAAGATCAAACTAGCCACCATGGGTAGGCCTCATGGTCAATAAAGACCAACAGAAAATGGGGTTTGAGCCATAGTAACCACCAATTTAAAACTTCTTTTTGTTTTTTTTCTTCAGAAAACGTTCACCTAGGATTATTATTCTATAGGTTTCCTTGGTGCCAAATGTAGCAGACCAGTGTCAGAGGTTTATCACGTAAGAATTTCGAGAAAGCTGGCCTGAACACCACACAATGGTATCAGGAAAGAAAAACCATCACTTTATCTAATCAACGGGTTAGATTCAAGTACTTCGGTGATTGAATTCAGGTATTTGAGCATTGAGTAACTTCATTTTGGGCATTTTTTGGTTGAATATAATGTGATTTATTCGTTGGTTCATGTATAGTTTTTAGTTTAGTTTTGAAAATGTATTGATTGTGTAAGCATATATAAGTTAAGAAACATGCAGCCGATGAATTTCAAGGAGACACATAAACAAGCCCCAATATTGTAAGTGAAGGCATTGAAAAAAGAAAAACAAATGAAAAAGTAAAATCGTTAGCAAATGGGTTTTCATAAAACCAAGATGGCTCTCGTGAAAACTTCTTCAAATTTAACTTAAATGTCTACCACAAGATGTCATTAAAATTAAAGGTTTTTAAAATACTATATCATTATTTGAAATATTTGAGAATTTTGCATAATGGAACCTTTATTCTTTTCTAACCATTTCACCATATCAATGAAATGTTTATGTTTCCTACGCCCCCCCCCCCCCCCCCCCC